TGGTTACCGAGCAAATGAGGTTTGATTGGTTTGAATATTTTGAAATCAGAATTCAAACGTATATAATACGTGAAAGGGTTTATTGTATTTTACAATTGGCGAGAGGGAGAGGGAGCTACGGAGAAAAGTGAGATGGAAGAGTACTGGTGCAGCGCGAGAGCGGGCTGTCCCGGCTAGAAGAAAATTACTTTTTTTATGTTTAATTCTATATTTGTGTTAAAATTCAAGACAAAAAAATTATTCTTGCACTATACCGGGTGACAATGAAATCGTTATACAAGGCGTCATTCAGTTGCCTTTAAAGTTAAAAATTTGAAAATTGGGTGGAACAGGTAAGTCATTGAGACGCACATTTTTCGTAAAAAAACAATTGAATATCACTTCCGGTTACTCCGGAAATGGACCCAAGTCAAGAAATTTTTATGGAACCCGGTATATTTTTTTACGCAGTTGCATAGAGCTTAAAATTTCCTTTCCAATGACATATCACAACTTGTATTTGTTTCCAAGATGGCGGCGTAAGAAGGTATTTTTCTTAAATTCAATATGGCGGCATTCTGACGTAACCGATAATGTTTTTGTCAAACAAACACTTTTAACAATCCATAATTTTTAGATTTGAAATCGTTTTAGATTGAATTTGAAAAAAAAATGATTTTGCTCAAAAACAAGGGCATTTCAAAATTTCTTTGAAATGCAAATTTTAGTTTCAAATTTTCTAAAAATTTTGAATAGGAAGAGGTACTTATTAAATTCTAGAATTAAAATGTGTCCAATGGCCTACCGAAAAATGTCTACCAAAATGCATATTCATTTTTCGGTTAGGTATTCAAAGGTTAAGTCAGAATGCCGCCATATTGAATTTAAGAAAGTGCCTTCTCACGCCGCCATCTTAAAAACAAATTCCACTTATCATATGTCATTGAAAAGGGAATTTTGAGCTCTATCCAACCGTGTAAAAAAAATATACAGGGTTCCATAAAAATTTCTTGACTTGGGTCCATTTCCAAAGTAACCGGAAGTGATATTCAATTGTTTTTTTATGAAAAGTGTGTGACTCAATGACCTACCCATTCCACCCGATTTTCAAATTTTTGAATTTAAAATCAACTGAATGACGCCTTGTATAACGATTTCGTTGTCACCCGGTATAATCGAGATACATGGCGCAAACTTTCTGCAAGAATAAAAATTTTTGATTTGAGCTTTTATTTCGGAGATAATGCGAGGTGAATGCAAAAATTTGTATATTTCAATTCAATCAGATTTTGCTCAGGTTTGAACAAAGATAATATTTCAATTTTTACATTTATTTTACCGTAAGGGCCAATGTATTCGGCTTATTTGAAGCAATAATAAAAAATATAATTTGAACAAAAATATAGATAAATTTTATATGAGAACAGTCATAAATTACTATTCTATACGTTCATGTAATAATCTCAATTTTTAAGTATACTGCCCTTTTGCCCGTTCTGATTTTGTATTACCCTGGGATTTTGAATTAACATAATAAAACCTTCATTCTGTGCAAGTTTCAGCTTGTAACCCCGACGCGCCCACAAAACTCATTTTTAGAAGGCTTTAACTGCGTTGGGCACTCTACTAATAATAAGATGTTGGATACTGGCTAAACGCGAACCACCGAATAAGATTTATGTATCAAGGGAATTATGAGGGTGTTAATACCCCAGCGCAAAGTTTGTGTCCCTCGGGCCTCTGGCCCGAGGGACACCAATTGCCTGTGGGTATTAACACCTGAAAATTCCCGTGGTACATAAATAATTTTATTTCCTACTGAATTTACTGTATTTTGTCCATTTTTATAAAGAAATAAACCATAAACTAAAATTTCTATTTTTTGTCAAAGTTTCACCTATTCAAGGTAAAACAGGGAGTTATGGAAATTGGAAACCCTTAACTCCCTTGGGAGTTATAATATCCTTAACTCCCTTCCTTAACTCCCTTGGGAGTTAATGAAACCCTTAAATCCCGCGCGGGAGTTAAGACCCTGTTTATGATTATCGTAACCAAGGTATTATATGATTATAATAGTTCAGTAGGAAATAAAAGCATTTAATGACGATATTGGAATGGAAATGGGATTGGAAAAATAACTAATTTCAAAAAAAAAAACGTAAGACTAGACGAACAAATAAACCTAATCAGAAGTTTAGGTATAGAAGAAACATAAAAATACCTTGGGATGGAAGAATCTAATGGTTTACATATGGATAATGTTAAACTTCGACTTCGCAATGAATATATTCGACGAATACGAAAAATTCTTGACACAGAATTAACTGCGGAAAATCAATTTAAAGCGGAAAATCAATTTAAAGCGATAAATACTCTAGCTGTGCCTGTCCTAATCTATAGCTTTGGAATTATTAATTGGCTGAAGAGTAAAATCAATCAACTAGATAGAACAACCAGGAAGAATTTAACAATGGGAAGCATACATCATCCTAAAGCAGACGTCGCTAGAATAAGAATATAATATATTAAAAGGAAAAGTGGAGGTCGCGGCCTAATAGAACTAGGGGCAACTTTTGAGGAAGAAATGACCGGATTAGCAGAATATATGAATAAATCTACAACTTTAGTAAAACATTACGATGAGCAACAACAGAAATACTCTCTATAACAAAGGAAACTGCCGCTATTAAAGAAAAGATGGGTCAATGACCTCCTATAATATTCTAATCAATATCAAAATTTCAATAAAAATAATTTTGTCTCATAAAATTCTGAGCAGTCTACATTTGCTGCAATATTAGAAATAAATCTAATAAATAATCCTGACGCGCCAACGCGCTAATCGGGAACCAGGTCGTAATTGAAATTGACCCTGCATAGTGCAAGTGGTTTATGGGGAAAATGCATGTAAAAAGAACAGAGACAACAAATTACAAATTTCGTGAGCGGGAGTGAGAGTCACCTTTACTCCTATATCACTAATATGGTGGACGGCCCGCTGTGATTCGCTTCAACACCATGCGGCGCGCATATTAAAATCCAGTAGTCAATAGTGCAGGACACCCCAAAAATTTTTTTGAACCAATAATTTGTGTTAAAAAGATTGTTTAAAAAAAAAGTAACAATTGGGAACTTGCATGAAAAATTAAATTGATTATTGTTTCTCGCAAACTGTAGGAAATCGAAATAAAATCGATGGGTATTTTTTTATTTTGTCCAAAATGATTATTCGGAAAGTTATACAAATATTAGGTTTTGTATATATAGATATACTGAGCATGTACGGCGTCATAAAATTATATGATTTATGACGTCATAAGCACATTTCATAATTTTCATAGCGTTGTATCTCTGTCAATTTTTGACTAAGAAAAAAAAAACATGTGTTGACTTATTTTTCATCCACTAACAAAATTAGCGATAAAAAAATTGATGGAAGTTCCGTATTGTGAAACAAAATGTCCCCCCCGGTTATTAACCTACGAGCCGCCACTGGAAGCATTAATGCAAAACGACCTGATATTGTAGTCCATGATAAGAAATCTAAATCATGCCTATTATACAGGGTTGTTGTTATGTATGGAAACGGTCTGATATTTCAGAACCGGCTTGAAAAAAAATTACAATATTTCCTACCTGGGGATTTTGGGAATGCCCGATTCGATAGTGGTATTTGCAATGTTGCCAAGTTTACCGTTTCTTAAATGCCGTATGTAACTTGATTTTTTTAAATGGATGATCCTCTTTATTTTTATTGTAATTCTTTCAGCGTTCCAACATTACTAAAACCCCTAAATGCCAAAACTCCATTTTACTTGGTTTTTGAAATATGGCAACACAGATTTTTTGTTGAAATTTATGGAAACAGTCTCGTATTTCAGAAAAAACTTTAGCAAAATGTACAATATTCCCTACCTGGGGGTTTTTAGGAATGCCCGATTCAATGGTGCTATTTGCAATGTTGCCAAGTTTACCTTTTCTAAGGTGCCGTATGTAACTACCCGTAGGGGCATCCATTTCAAAAAAAATCCAGTTACTTACGGCATCTTTTGAACGGTAAACTTGGCAACATGCAAATACTACCATTGAATCGGGCATTCCCAAAAACCTCCAAGTAGGAAATATTGTACATTTTGCCAAAGTCTTTTCTGAAATACGAGACTGTTTTCATACATTTTAACAAAAAATCTGTGTTGCCATATTTCATAAACCAAGTAAGTGGAGTTTTGGCATTTAGGGGTTTTAATAATGTTGAAACGCTGAATAAATTACAAAAAAAATAAAGAGGGTTATCCATTTAAAAAAATCAAGTTACATAGGGCATTTAAGAAACGGTAAACTTGGCAATATTGAAAATACCACCATTGAATCGGGCATTCCCAAAAACTCCCAGGTAGAAAATATTGTAAATTTTTTTCAAGCCGGTTCTGAAATATCAGACCGTTTCCATACATAAAGACAACCCTGTATAATAGATGTTGCAGTACCTGACGACATGAATATTGCAGTCAAAGAAGTTAAAAAACCAAGTAAATCTGCAATGTGGAATGTCAAAACAAGGATGGTTCCTGTAGTGATTGGTGAACTCTGAACCTATCAAGAGATACCAGATTTCATCGAGATATTGATAATGATAATAATAATATCAGTAGGTAAGGTATTTTTTGGAGTTCTCTTGGAACCAACCAAGAATCTCAAAAAATGCCTTACCTACTGTTAAAATTAGAAAGGATCAAAAACAGAGTCGTTTTAAAAAATAATAGTATCGTCCATAGGTTAGAGTATATTGGAATTTTGTCAAAATCCCAATTGTTTATTATACAAATTCTTATGAAAACTGCTGATAAGGGTCGCGGATTTCCATTTGTGCCCGTTTCCTATAGGAAAACTGAAATAATTATAGGAAAATAAAAATATAAAATACAATGTAATCATAGATTAACCACTCCTATACAATGTGTAGATGTCATAGCAGATTTTTAATAAATAAATTACCAATAAAAAATGGAAACATTTCTTACCTGAATGTGAACTCGAAGAACCCATGAAACAGCTTTGAATTGTCCGTCAAATCATCAGAATTTGATGAATCTATAGATGTACTATTCCGTAACCTATCAGGATCAATTGGATCAAAATTAGAGGTATCCGTTGGGTAATCTATGCGAGGTTTGTGTGGTGCTGCCTGCCTCCTCAAACCCTGAAAAATTGCACAATTGTACTTAAGCCTCTAAGGAAACAATACAAATTACCTTTTCAAAATCAATATCTTTGAAAAACGGATGATTTTTGATTTCGTTGGCGTTTTTTCCCACTCGCTTGTCTGAACTGCAGCATAGTTTTAGTATTAGATCTGTTGCTTCTTTAGAGAGATTGGCTTGTTTTGGAATTTGCAACGTTGTTTCCCAATTTATTACCTAAAGGGGGCAAAACGTGAATATACTGACATAAATTTAACTAAATACATCTGAAACATTGCACATAGAGTGTTGACTGCACAATAAATGCACACATGCATTTGACTAGTGATTTTGAAAATTTCCGTTATACACAAAACTTAGAAAATTAAAAGCTCTATGTGAATGTCAAAATGTAAAAGTTTACTAGCTTTTACAGAATCAAAAAACATAACAGTAATACCTTATATTGTGTTTCAGCAGGTGTATTAGCCAAAAAAGGTGGTTGCCCCACCAACATTTCATATAAAATCACCCCCACGCTCCACCAATCGCACACGTGCGTGTATCCCGTCCTTTGCAACACCTCCGGTGCTATGTAGTTAGGCGTACCAACTAAAGAGTGGGCCAAACATCGGTGTTCTCTCCGTCTTCGTCTTTCCAACGGTTTCAGAGCTTTGCACTTGCATTCCTCGCTCCAATCGTCGATCGGATCCATTGAATCCTGTCTGCTGTGATCACCATTAGGCTGATAGTATTTCGAGTTATGCGTCCACCTGAATCCGGTACACAAGCCAAAATCAGTCAGTTTTATGTGGCCGTCTTTGTCTATAAGAATATTGTCTGGTTTTATGTCTCGATGGATGAAGCCCATTCTGTGTACACTTTCTACTGCGCATGTTAGTTCTGCTATGTAAAACCTGTAAAGACATATTTGATTGTGGTATAAATTAGTTTTTTTAGATGTAATTACCTAGCTAAAGTCTCTTCAAAAATTCCTAATTTAATGAGCAAAGACATCAGATCACCGCCAGGTATGTAGTCCATCACAAAATACAAAATATCGCTGTCTTGAAAGGAATAATACAATTTAACTACCCATTCGTTGTCGGCTTCAGCTAAAATATCTCGTTCCGCTTTGACGTGAGCAACCTGAAATCATGCAAAAATGATTAAAATCTGCAAGAATTACTTGCGCAAAATACTTCTAATTATCACACTAACTTGAAACTTTCAAGATTTATGAATTGAAGTTTGCTTTTTGAGAAAAAGTTAATTTGAGGACGATTTGAAGCTTCAAAATAAATTTAGAAACTTTTTCTCGCGTTAATGCATGCAAAAATGATTAAAAATCTGCAAAAATCACTTGTGCAAAATACTTCCAATGATCACAGTGACTTGAAACATCCAGGAATAATGAATTTAAGTCTTTTTCATATGGAAAAATTAATTATATTCCAGACATCGAATGCTGCTTTAAACTACAAAACAATTTAAAAGTAGAAGTTTGCTTCCTCTAAGTTTGCACTGGACTTCAAATTTTCAAATAATTTATCCAGTATACCCAAATGCAAATTTTCTTTGTTCACTTCTTCGATTGCCTAATCACCCATTTTAATAAAATTAACAAAAATGATATAAATACCTGATTCCTTTTCAATACATCCGCCTTTCTTAACGTTTTCATGGCATAAAGATGGTTAGTATCGATTTTTCTAACAAGAGTCACTTCCCCAAACGCTCCTACTCCTATCGGTTTGATTGTCACAAACATACTTTTATCCATTTTGGCTCGCTTTAATCTAATGTAATTCGATTCTTTCTGAGAGAGCATCTTACGCATTTGTTGTTGAGCTTCAGCACTAAGACCTGGAACAATAACTTTATACATAAACTCATTGTTTTAGGTGTTTACAGTATACCTATTTTAACCATTTCTTTTTCCAATTGCATTCTCCTATACATTCTTTGCCTGTACGATTTTATTACATTCTCAATGTGCTGTTCCATGAAGAACTTAAAAGCTTGAGGCGAGTAGTTTTTAACTTTACCGTCCCTTCTCTCCTCTTCTTTTTCTTTGCTAATTTTTTTCCTTTCCGGTATTGGAGACTAAAAATCCCAATTATTTTCGAATCAAAACAATAAATATCAACATTACCTGATGCTTAATTTTTGCGTAGGGAGGCAATTGAGGTGGCGCTTCACCAGAATTCTTGTTACCATTACTGTCTGACAATGAATTCCCATTTACCGTTGTGTGATTATTATTCGAATTAGTTTTTACTGAAGAGGAGGCTGTAAAATTAAAATTAACAATTAACTGCTCCTCTATAAATGAGTGTATTATTACCAGTGGGAGGTAGTGGAGGTGCTCCATTATCTGGATACAGATTCCTACCGTCACCAGAACTAGTGGACAGAGGACTGTCCGATCTACAACATTCATTGGTACCAACTGCAGGTGAATATTTTCTTTGCAAAGGTGGATGAGGATGACCAGACGAACTGTAGTTACAATGTGCGTCGTCACTATATGGCGGCGGAGGAAGTGGAGGATGAACTAAAATTTATATAATAATAATAATATTACCAAGAGTTTTACATCAGGAATCAGGATTGGAATTTAAATTTCTCTTGATGTTATATTCCATCAATAAATTTTGTTTTTTGAATATAAGGAACTGAATCCTCTCATGAATTTATTTTTGGATTTTGGTAGAATTAGAAATACTGATTTGCAGCAGAGCCACTACAAATACTGACAATTTGACAGTAGTCGAAAAATTCTTACCTCTTATTTGAGCTTTCGCTTTAGCTTGCATGGTACTAGCATAACTAGGCGGTTCATTGCTGGGCACGTTAACCGGCGCAGGTGCCTGCGGTAAAGGTGCTGCAGGTTTTCCCGAAGCACCACCATTGGTATAAACTTTTTGCTGAATAGACGCCGTATAGGATGGAGGTGGCGGCGCATTAGCTGGAGGCGTGGTCGGCCCGTTTGGCGTTGCAGGAACCGGTGGCGCCGTGGCGGTTTGCAAAACCGGTTTTTGCACTTGGGTACTTTTAACTGATTGCATAATAATTGGAGGTTGCGAGACCGTTTGTCTGGCACCCCAGGCTTGTAATGGGGTCGGTCTTGCCATAGGAGTGGGTGTGGCTGCAGTGGAAACTGGTACTGGACTTGGAGAACCTATAAAAGCACCATCATCAATATGAATTAATGAATTAAAAAGTAACTATATACCTGCAGAAGTAGAGCCTGAATAAATTCCTGATGAAGGGCTCTTTCTAAAATCTTGTGTGGGACTTTGTCGGTTCTGGATTGAAGCTGAGTAACTAGGTGGAGGGGGTGCGCCACTGCCTATTGGATAGGGCGGAGGCGGTTCTGCAGAGTTCACTCCGCTGGTAGGGTAAAGGCTTAACGCTTGCATTTGTTGTGTGAGCTGTTGTTGTACCTGAATAAAGAATTTATGTGTAAAGTGTATACCATATCTTAGGAATCAACTCAAACTTTTGCCATCTGTTATTATCTGTCTGGAAGTGTTTCCCAATTTGTTGAAAATATATCTGTATAGTTTGTGAAATACTTCTCAAGAGTGTAAATTTTTTTCTATTGTATCTATCTGCTTCAAAATGTGCCTCACACGAGTCACTTAATTTAATCGAAATGCTTGTGTATGTGTCTTATATGTTTTCACTATACTTCACTTACCTGCGGTCCATTCTGAACCACCATTGGTTGTCGACTAGTAGCTCCTCCCCCAACAGGACTGGTGCCTCTCTGATTCGGAACACCATAATTGCCACCTGGTGCAGCTGGTGGTGCTCTTGAAGGCACAACAGGTGGCGCTGGTGACATGCGTTTGAACATTTGCTGTACGTTGCTGGGCACCGATTGCTGATAGGCGGGTGGCGCATGAGGTGGAGGGGGCGGAGGAGTTGTTCTCGGCGGCGGCGGAGGGGGTGGTTCAGCAAAACTAGGAGAATACCTGGATCCGTGGATATCTGCCATTCGTGGACTATCACTCCTAGAGCTACCGGCTCCCGAATCTAAAGCAGGACTGCCCCTAGGATGGGTCAGTTCTCTTTCGATGCTTGGTTTACGAATTAGTTTTGTATAACCTGAGCTTTTGCTTGACTCTGGCAGTTGTTTACCCAAATAATCCAGAGCCAAATCCACACGGCCGTTGGTACCTTGAAGAGCTCGCATAGACGAATCCTACAATACACACACAGAGATAACGATAATTATTTATTTTTTTATCAAGAATCTACCTCTGAATATCCCATGCTAAGTAATTGAGCTAGTCCGTGACGCAGCTGAAGATGGTCCTTGCCATTATCACCATTAGACCCGGAAGCAGAACTGAGAGAACTGACGCCGCTGGTTTGCGAAAAGTTGGAAATTGTACTGGCTGCACTGGACCCCACAGTTTCACTGCCGCTTTTTGCAAAAGGCCTTAGAGAGTTCTGAAAATAAAGTTTAGATTGAATTGAGCTCAGATTTGATGGAACAATTAAGAGTAATTTTGTTTTTGATTAGTTATTGAAGACATAATAGGTTCCAAAACAGTTAAAATTAGGCCTTTAAATTGCAGTACTGTTCATATAACTGTTACTGAGATAGTTGATTTGGAAGCCAAATAATTAGATGTGTAACACATTTTCACTAATTTCACTACTTTACTAGCTTAAAGATGAAAATTTTTACTTTAACAAATTTAGACAGCAGACAGGCGGTTTTATTCCAGTTGGAGTGGATTCATATAAAAATCAATAATAAATCAAAAGGTAGCCACATAAAATTAAACCCTTGAACAACTATTTAAAAACATTACTTACCTGGATCTCTTCCATGGCCTTTTGGTGATAGCCCGGAGACCGGGCTGAAGTGTTATTATTCATGTCTGCGAGTTGAGGCGCTTGGCCCATACTCAGCTTACTGCTCAAATTTTTACATCATCCTCTCAGGTTGAGACTTCAATTTTTGAGTAATTTTACAAACTGTTGGTTAGTTGCTTATCTAGAAAAGACAAAAAAAAAAAGATATTATTGAGGAAAAGTCTCAGCTTCTGCAAAATGTGTAGGTACACAGATTTTAAAACATCCTGGATTTTAAAAAAAATTAATAATTGTTAAATTTTTTTGTGGATTCTATGGAATTTCGAATTATTTTTACTAGAGATTTTAAAAATGCTCGATAAACTCTACAAACATTTAAGAAAACTATTCCAAACATGCATAGATAAACATGAAGTACTGGAAGAGTGGAAAATAAGCTATTTAACAACGATATATAAAAAAGGAGATAGAAACAAATGCGAGAACCACCGAGGAATTGCAGTAACAAACACACTGAGCAGAGTGTATGGAAAACTCATAAAAGCCAGAATAGAAAACAAGTTCAAAGATAGTGAGGCAGAAGAACAGGCCGGTTTTAGAGCAGGAAGATCAACTGTAGACCATTTATTTAGTTTGAACCAGGTTATAGAGAAAAAACTAGCGCACCTATAACCAACAAGTTGATTTACACTACACATAACAATATCCCACTGAAGAACCTATGGGAAGCACTGGAAAAGACCAATATCAACTTAGAACTAATAAAGGCCGCTGAAACAGAACGCTCCATAAACAGGTAAGAATAATCAGCAAAGGCTTTATTTACAGCAAATAAAGGACTTAAATAATATAATAAATCACCAACACTTTTTAAAATATACTTAGAACAAAAAGGAATGCGAGAAATGACGTTTCGAAGTAAATCTAACTAAAAAAGGATATATGACTATAGAAGGTGAACTCTGAAACTGAATAACGGACAATAAATAAAACAATGTAGGTACTGAATACAAATATTTGGAAATGAAACTCGCATGGATGAAGCAATTAAAGATAGAAATTTATAAGGACGCAAGGCAATATCCCAACTAAATGGAGTACTGTGAGACCAAAATATCAATAAAACCAGAATATTCAACACCATAGTCAAAATAATAGTCACATATAGTTCAGAGGTCTAGTCACTAAAGAACAGAACCGCAACTGAAATATACTTTTGGAGAAAAGCGGCAGGCAGGTGAAAAATGGAAAGGAAAGGATAACAAATCTGAGAATTAGGGAAATTAAGGATGTAGAAACGCAATAGTAGATGATATAAGGGACAAAGAACTGATTTGGTTCGGACATGTAAAAAGAACAGCAGAGAGAAGAATACCAGAGCAAATTATTGAGTGGAAAACAGGAGGAGGAAGATGCGACAGACCAAGAAGAAACTGGAGAAGTGGAGTAGACGAGGACATGAGAAGCAGAAGCTTGAAGGAGGATGTCTGGATTGACATAGAGATGGTTGGGGATCGAGAATCGGAAGACGAAGAACTTTATAAATCGATAATTATACTACTAATTTCTAGTTACAATCTAGGGATGCATGCTATCAGCATTGAAACAAATTTACTTTTTTAAATTTACCATTACTTACTGGAACAACTATGGATTATTGGAGAATGAAGAGCATGCTAATATCATTAATAATATGAAACATTTTTTTTTACGCAAAGAGCATGGATGATATAACTAATAGAATAAAGGTGTAAAATTTAAATTTAAAATACAGGAAACTTAACAGGGGGTTCTGGAATAGTGTCTCAAATTGGTTTTGAAATCATTAAGGGATTGTGGGTTGAAAATATTTTTAAAAAAAACTCAATAAAAGTAAGGTTTTGAGGTATCTTTTTTTCTGGAGATTTGGATCGGGTGAATATGCAGTGTTCTAAAATAATCCCTTCAGTTGGTTAAAAGTTGAAAATTATCAGAAAACTCAACAAAACTAAGGTCCTAAAAATCCTTTTTCTTAAGATTTTGGATGCGGAACCACTATCCACTTGTAGCATTGACCTAATAAAGTGTGTTAAGTTAGTTTCCGAAACAGTAGAGGATTAACGATTGAGAATATTTTTAAAAAACTGAAAAAAGTAGTTTTTTTTTTTCTAAAGATTTTGGTGACATACTACTACGATCCGATAGCAGGAACTTGATAAAGTATTCTAGAATAATCCCTTGAATTAGTATATCGGTAGATGATGAAGGGGTGAGAATGCAGGCCATGCATAAAGATTGTCGGACTTGAAGAACAGCTCGATGAACAAGTTCTAATTGAAAAATTGAGGAGACTGCAGAATTCAAATTTGATACAACAGAGAGCCAGGTAAGGCTTCGGGGGGTAAGGCTCAGGCTAATAACATCCAAGCAAATGGTGAAGACATACTTTGCCACTATAGAATGTGATCCACAAACCTATCAAAATGTGATGTCTCGTGTGATGTCGGACGAGGGTGCTAGGCTTTTTGTTGACTGTAAAGCTTGCAGGTGTTATGCATACATTGGCATAACTCGATGCTACAAATGTAATAAGTATAATCCTTGGTATAATCATACATCAAAGGAATGCAAAAAAAAATGTGATAGTTCTGAGCACGATCAGAAGGAATGTGATTCAACCAGCCCTGAGTGTATGTCACGTAATAAAAAATACAAACTGAATCTAGATATTAAACACAATGTGTATAACACAAATTGCTCAACATTATGGTTGCTTCAAGAAAGGGAAAAGTCAAAAATTCAGTACAGTGTCTTAGGAAAATAGTAACCTGAAAACATAGTGCTAGTGATCAAATCTGCTTAAGATTGTGTCTTGACAATATGGCACCAAAATAAACAGTCTCTGAGGAACAAAATATTGGACATAGAGTGCTTTCCACTGCTTTCTGGATAAAATGTGCCAAAGGCCTGGAGTGATGTTATCTAGCGAACACTGGCTGGAACAGGACTGTGCCCAATTTGTAAAGGGAGTAGAACACGAGGAGCAAAACTATAGACCCATATCACTGCTGTCTAATATTGGTAAAATCTATGAAACAATAATAAACTCTAGACCCACTAGGTTTTTGGAAGGGCACTCTATACTAGACTATCTAATAGTCAAAACGGCTTGGAAAAGGAAAATCTACCATCATAAGGAGTGTATACCAGTCTATATCATATGTGTTGAACTTATTAAACAATAGAAAGATAAATTGAAGTAGTCCATATCTCAAAGTGGAGTTGAAATTTAATTCAAAAGAAAAACTCAGTCCTCCTCCATAAATACTTCAATCGTTTTAAACGGCCCTACATGTTTCGGGATTAGTAAATCCCATCATCAGGGGAAATAAATTAGCTCATATTATATCAACAGGGTTGGATATCATAGGCTGTCAGAGCATGCTACAAAAAATTAAACGAGTTTAGGTTTAAGTTTAGATTGGAATTCCAGGAATCTAAACTTAAATCTAAACTCCTTTAATTTTTTGTAGCATGATCTGGCAGCCTATGATATCCAACCCTGTTTATATATGAGCTCATTTATTGCTCCTGATAATGGGATTTACTAATTCCGAAACATGTAGGGCTGTTCAAAACGATTAAAGTATTTGTGGAGGAAGACTTTTTGAGTTTTTCTTTTGAATTCTAGAAAGATAACCATAGCCATGTGTATGGACCTGTCAAAAGCGGTAATCACAATACACACAGTGACAGGCTAGAAAACAATGGTATTCGAGGAGTTCCTTTAAAATTAATAAAAAACTACTTGGCAGATCGAACACAACAACTAATTGTTCTAGATCTATGATATCGTCAAAGATCAGGATCGAGAGGGGTGCCCCTCAAGAATTTAATTTGAGACCTCTATTGTATACCGGGTGTTTTTCAAAACCCGCTCACCCCTATAACTTTTTTATTTTTCCAGATAAAGAAATGAAATTTGATATGTTTATTTATGACCCGGATGTGCATTATTTGACGTATTTAATTTTTTACTATCACTTCCGGTTTGACCGGAAGTGACCCTAACTTTCTTATTTTAAATGAGACGCTAGGTATATCTTTCCTCATTTTAATAGAAAACTACCTTACGAGTACAATGACACCTCATTTGTCACTTCTTGACATTTCATCACCAAATTATTTAAATTTTTACTTTTAAATCTAGAGCACCATGAATAAGTCAAAATGCTTAATTTTGCTCCTAGGAACATGGGAAAATTTGTTTTGATCTTATTTTGTATTTTATATCCTCTACAGAATCATTTAAAGATAGTAGAAGCGCATTTTTAGAATTATATCAGTTTTTTCAAATGGAAAGGGTATGGCTCATGAGCATGTTCCAAAAGAGCGTTTTCTAACGAGCAATTCAGTACCACACAATCGCTAGTTCATCACTCAAATTAAAAAAATTTCTAGCATTCTAAATATTTTTGGAAAATTTTAGTTCAATATTTGAATAAACTAGCGATTGTGTGGTACTGAATTATTATTGTTTGTTAGAAAATGCTATCTCGAAATATGCTAATGAGCCATACCCTTTCCATTTGAAGAAATTGATATAATTCCAAAAATGCGCTGCTACTAACTTTAAATGACCCTTTAGAGCAGCGGTTCCCAACCGGTGGGTCGCGACCCCTAAAGGGGTCGCATAGGGTTTTTGAAGGGGTCGCAATGCCAATATGTATTTTTCTGCATTTGGCATCACGCCTTAGCCTCCGCCTCAAAAGCCGCAGCGTTGCATGGGTCTTACGGACGAAGCGAATAGCATAGGTTGTGAGTGTTGTGTTGTGAGTCACACATGTTTTTGACCATAGATAGCTATGTATAATGGCTGAAGCATCAGAAACAGAAATTGTGTAGAATCCTAAAGAAATGAAATGGGCGTTATCTGAACAAAAGGCATTCAGTAAGTAAGGAAACCGTTTCAAGCATCGTTAGATGTTGCCGACGTTCCTGATGAAGTGCAGGATCAATTTTTAGAGCTGAGGAATGATTCCACAGCACCTGCCCTATTCCAGGAAAAATTCTTGACTGAATTTTGATGTGCCATGCATAGTTCATGTCCTTATGTCGCCCTGCTTGTGCTTTCTTTTCGGATACTAGTACCATTTGCCTCTACCTACCTTCGTGAAAGTTGTTTTTCAACTCTTTTGCAAA